TTTGTCATCAGCCCTCCTCTGCTCCAGCCGCAGGCGACCTCTGACATGCTTTTGCTACTATAAATCAATTTGAATTGTACATAAATGGAGTCATACAGTGGGTACTATTTTTTCAATGGCTTCTTTTACTCAGCATAAAATTTTTTATTGTGGAAAATTATACAGAACATAAAACCACCTTGAGCATTTTTAAGTGTACATGTCAGTGTGGCATTAAGTGTATTCCTACAGTGCAACCGTCACCGCCACCCGCCTCCGGGGTCTTTTCATCTCGTGGGACTAAAGCTCTGCCCCCATTAAACACGCACTCCTCTCACTCCCCGGCGCCTGGAGCCACCACTCTCCTTTCTGCCTCATATAAGTGGAAATCATACAGCATTTGTCCTTTTGCAGCTGGCTTATGTCTAACGGCTTAGCCTAATGAAGACATTTAGCCTTCAAGGTGCACCCATGTTGTAGCACGTGTTAAAATTTCCTTTTTAAGGCCAAAAGCTATTCTATTACATGTATGTATCCCATTTTGTTGATTCTTTCATCTGTCTGTGGACACTTGGGTTGCTTCCACCTTTGACTATTGCAAGTAATGCTGCTGTGAACATGGGTGAACAAGTATCTCTTCTAGTTTTTGTTTTCAGTTATTTTGGGTGTATGTGTAGTAAATCTATGTTTAATTGCTTTTTGAGAACCTTCCATATTGTTTCCTGCTGTGGCTATATTTTACGATATTACATTGTAATGTTACATTTTACAATGTTATATATTAAACAAAGTTTTTCATTAGATGCGCTTCCTGTTCTGATTATCCCTTCCCTCCCCAGAAAACCAGTTCAACCTGTCCTTTGCCTCCGTGCAGCCCTGCGTGATGATCGTGTCCTCCTCCCTGTCCCGAGCCCCGGCCTTTCCCGTCTTTCCACACTGACGCAATTGCCTGGGGAATTGCTCAGCCGTAGACGCCTCAAGCAAAACAACACTGTCGCTTTCTATTAGCGGCAGCCTTTCCCTCTGTGTTCTACCTGTTCTCATTAACTGTAGTTACTATACACCTCACTAACACCTTATTAACAATATCATGATGCATCCACCTATATCCTATTACTTCATCTATTATACCATCTACACATTGGTCCTCTTAATTGAATCTTTTGTCTTATACATCCCACTTAAATGCATTTAGCTATACCTGTGAGATAAGTTGTTCTATTAACTATATTACCTATGTTTTTACACCTGTTATCCAGGCTGCTAGCATCCTGTTCATAATATCTCCAAGCTGTTAAACTCTTCCCCTGTTTAGATCTTGTTAGGTCAGCATCAAAAGCCCACTAGCAAGCTACACGCCTCATTTACTCTGGGGGTCCCACCGTGAATATGCAGAGTGTACAGGGGGCTTTGACCCTGAAGTACCCTCTCAAGAAGGACCTTTTCCTTTGACCAAGAAATAGCTGGCTGCCCACCAGGCTTTACGACCCACAGTCACAGAGCGCGTGAGCGGGAGCACACATGGGGTCAGCGTTGTGGGCGTGTGGGAGCCGACCAGACACTGGACGTTGGAAATCCTGGTGGGAAGGGAGAGCCGAGAAGGAGAAGACAGAGCAGGGGAAGGCCATGGGGAAGGAGGACTGAAGGAGGAGGTCAGTGATCATGGGTCAGGACGGACCTTTGGATGTCATCTTTTCGGTCAACAGCTGACGACCCTGGACGATTGTACATCAGAGCAACCCTTGGAATGTCGCCAGAATGACAGCCTTAGTCTTTTCAGTCTTACGGTCCTGGCTCCTCTGAGCTCCGGTGAAGAGGAGGCTCTGCTCCAAGCGCCCCCTCCCGTTCGCCACACACACCTGAGCCACGTCAGTGCTTGGGTCGCAGCCACCACAGCCAAAGGCCTTGTACCTGTGGCTCCCCACAGATGGCAATGCCAGCATCTAACACGGGGCCTGGCACACAGCAAAGGCCCATCAGGTATTGGCTGTGTAGCATGGAAGGGACTTGCAGAATCTGTCCTTTCTTTGTCATCACATACTACACTCTAGGTCAAGAAAGGGTAAGAGGTCCTTGGCAGCCGCCTGGTACACACCGGGGTTTCTGTCTGTAGGAACACACATGCATCGAAACGGCCAGCTGTCTGTGCGTATGTAAGAGAATGCTCAGGTGGTCCTATAGTAACCCTTTGTTTTTCTGAAACACTTATAAAAGCACCCCCCCCAAACTGTGATCGCATCTTATTTCACATGCTATGATTTATTTTTGACTTCCCATTGTATAGATGGAAAAACTGAGACCCTACTAGCATCTCTTACTAGAGTCAGGATCGCAAGTCTCCTAACTGCTGTGTAGCTGCCTCCCTGAATGGCGCAGTAACGGTGGGGAACATTTTCAGGGCCCAGCTGTGGTCCTAACTGCACACCTCACCTCAGGGCAGTGTTGGGGATGTTTCTCCTTAAAATTCTGTGTGCTGGACAGAGGCTTCCACAGGGGCGTCCAGGCACAGCTGTGCAACACCCCAGACCCAGCTTTGTGCAAATGGAACATCCCAACGCTCAGCTCCACAGCCAGCCTCTGGGTTCTGTGTTCACCAGCCCCCTGCCGACGCCTCACCCTAGGCACAGCTGAAGTGTGGGAGCACTTCCTGTCCCTGGAGCGCCCGCCCCTCGGCCTGCTCCCAGGGCTCACCGAGGAGCAGGCGTTGACAGCCCCCCGGCGTGTGTGCATGAGCCACCGAGCTGAGAGACCTGACGGCCCCATGGCAGGATGGGTCCATCTTGAAACTTAACAAAAGTATCTGACTCTGCTGTGCTGAATAGTGCCCCCCAAAGTCATGTGTATCTGGAACCTCAGAATGTGACTTCATTTGGAAATAGGGTCCTTGCAGATGTAATTAATTAAGGATCTTGAGAGGAATTCATCCTGGATGGCAGGTGTGCCCTAAATCTAATGACCGGTGTCCTTACCAACGGAGAGGACACAGAAAGACACAGGCGAGGAGGCCGTGTGAAGACAGGGCAGAGATGGGAGCGGTGCTGCCATATGGCAGGGCATTGCTGGGGTCACCGGAAGCTGGAAGAGGCAAGGAGGCCCCCCTTGGGTCCTCAGGAAGAAAGTGGCCCTTCCAGCACTTTGATGTCAGGCTTGTGGCCTCTAGAATAAATTCCTGTTATTTGAAGCCACGGAGCAGGAGCGCCTGCAGCCCCAGGAAGCTGACCCCCGGCTGAGAGCAGACAGAAGGCGGGGCCTCAGGGCTCGTCAGGAGCCAGGCAGCTGCACGTTCTCTGCCGCCCTGGCCTGTGTTGCCTTCTGGACCTGGGAGAACCCCTGGGCGAAGCCAGGCTAGGGAACAGGCTGAAAACAGTCGGGCTTGGCCTCCCTGATGACTCGCTGGAGAAAGACTCCTGTGCCCTCTCGTCTCCATTATCACTGCCTTTCTGTAACGCCCGCCATTGGCCCGGGACCGTCCCTGGACGGAATCTTTTTGTCTCAGTCAGCTCAGGCTGCCGAAATGAAGTACCAGGCTGGGTGGCTTAAACAGCAGGCATTTATTTCTCACAGTTCTGGAAGCTGAGAAGGCCAGGATCAAGGTGCTGGCTAATTTGATTTTTGGTAAGGACCTTCTTCCTGACTTAAAGTCAACTGCCTTCTCACTGTGTCCTTACGCGGCAAAACGAGAGGGGGGAGAGCGGGGGAGGGGACTCTGGTGTCTCTTCTTATAAGGACTCTGATCCCTTCATTTGAGCCCCACCCTCATGACCTCATCTCCCTGTATTTACCTTCCAAAGGCTCAGCCTCCATATCTCATCACATCGGGGATTAGGGTTTCAGCACGTGAATTCGGGTGGGGAGCACAGTTCAGTCCATGGGATTTACAAAGACACTTAAGTAAGTTGCTCTATCCCTCCTCGTTTTACGTTCGATATTTCTTCAGTTGCTGAAGGTTGTGCAGCTGGCAAGTGGCAGAACCAGGATTTGAATTTGTGTCTAATCCCCCTTCAGGGTCTACACTCTTAACCACTGTGCTATACTGAGTGAACTTACGTCATTAATAATAGTAGCCGCTGGTGGCTGGCATGGCAAGAAGAGAGCCTACTATGGTCGTAATCGCCCTCAGTGGCTCCCCGCTGCCTACTTCCTGCTCCTACCCCTTCCCTGCCCCTCCCGGTGTGGTAGCCACATCACAGGATCCCTGTTCCTTGAAGAGGCTGTAATGGTGATCCCTCTGGTAGACTGTCCCTGCCCCTTTCCATCTGACAAACTCTTGTTAACCCCACACGGTCCAATTTACCTGTGCTCTGTACACGTCATTATCGAGCTTATGCTACACGGCTCATAAATCCCGGTTGGGTGTGCTTGTCTTTTCCAAGCTGGAGTGAGAGCCTCATGGGACTAGATCTTTCTATTTGGGCTTCTGGTACCTTCCACAGTACCTCTGGCTCCCCAAAGCCCCTAATAAATGTTTGAATAAGTAAAACATGTACAAGACATGGAGATCATTAAGAAACAAATACTCAGCAGAAAGCACTGTTAATTAAAAGAAGGAGAAAGAGAACATCAGATATTCTAAGTACTTGTAGAAGGTACCACTAAAAGATGTGAGTTTTGAAAGCAAATGTTGAATTGAGGCTCTCCCGTATGTGTGCTGACTGATGACAACTCAATGCAATCGTCGATTTGGAGATTTACTATGGGCCTCATGGACTGTTGTTCCTGTGTTATTATTAATGGCTTTAGTCTTCTAAATATGTATTCTTTAAAAGCTTGCCCTATCTCTAAACATAATTTGCATTTGTGATAGCACACCGCTCATTTGATGCTGACCCCAATGGGAATGTAAGCTTCGACTCGCTGGCGTGCCAGTTAGAGCAAACTTTCCCTGAGGCGCATGTCTTAAGGCGTAAACCCATGTTCTTTCTTTGGTTGCCCTCTCCAAAGGGGGACAGTTTGCACCCGTGGGAGGTCCCACTCAGGCATTTCTAACTGCTCTTCCATCGCTGTCCCCCCGTCCCCCGCAGGCTGGCCGTGGGTGACCCTCTCCGTCCTGGGATTCCTGTACTGCTACTCCCACGTGGGCATCGCCTGGGCCCAGACCTACTCCACGAACTAATGCCGTGGGCCCAGGCCAGCCTGGCTGTCAGCCTCCAACGGTGCTTCTCCCTGATCGCATGCCCCAAGATAACCTCCAAGGGACCAGCGCCTGATCTGCTCATCTTTTGTTGACCTTACTTCAAGACCCACTCCAAGACTGGAAGCTGGAGCTCTCATAGAAAATCGACAACCAGAGTTTTCCACCTTTGGGGACACAGAGATCATCTCCCCCGCCGTCATTTTCCTGTTGAGCAAGCTGGGGTCCAGAGCTGTAGAGTGTCCTGCCCATCTGCACAGGGTGGCACTGCGGTCTGGACCCCAGTCCCAAAGGCCCTTTAAATTTTTTCTCCTTTCCCAAGAATTAAATATAATGGGGATTTTTTGGTTGAGGCCCAGAAATCCTGACTAGTGATAGGCCTGTCCTTCACTGGGCAATATTTCTAAAACATTTTAGTGACATCTATCTATGTGACCCCCTTCCCCACACCCTGCAGTGTGGTCTCAGCAGGGAGGTGGCAAAGTCACAGCTGTGTTTCTGTTTACCCAGTAAAGAAGCTAGAATATGTTCTGTCACATTCCAAGGAGTCTGTACCCAAGGAGACCTGTTGTTTGAACTTTATCAGGCCGATCTACACTTGGCTGCTTTTTTCCTAGATTTGCAGAGAAGTGTCAACATGCAGTGCCTCTACCTGACAGTTCATCATTTCTACATAAAGAAGCAGAATTTAAAAACCAGGGAACAGCGTACCCATAGGCAGGTGCTATCAGGCAAGTTACAAAGATGGCTCCCTGAGGTCTCCGCTCCTTTCCCCACGCAAGTCCCACCAGGATCTTCCCTCTCAGTGGTTTGCATTCAGTGGTTTATATTGTTTGGTTTTGTTTCAAATAAAATGGAGCCTTTCCTATCACATAGAGAAGTCACTTTTTTGTAGAATTGTTTTAAATAGTTTTTGAGGAAAATGTTTAAACACACTTATATAACTCTTAACTCTTCATTCCTCTGGAAAGGTGCTGGCAGGCTACTAATGGCCCCAGACGGTAGGTAATTCAGAACACCTTGTTTGGCTTTGGATTTTTATTATTTTTTTTGAGAGAGCAGTGGGGGTGGGCATAAGTGAACAAGCTTTTTAAAATTTGAATCCGTAGTGTACCCAGTTATGGGAGAGCTTAAAACACCTCAAGCACATGAACGGAATCGTCTTGAGGTTCACTTGGCCCAGGCCTGTGTCGACTGTCTCATATTAATTATTTGGTGCTGTCCCTGTGTCCTGGCTGCAGTTATTAACTCAATGCGATTTAAACACTCAGAGTGCAGGACAAGTCGTTTCGCTGATGCCATTTCTTCCAAGCCACTCTGTTTGGAAGCAGGGGCAGATGCGGAAGGCCTGAACACGCGGCAGCAAAGGGCAGCTGGCTCGGTAAAGGAGACTTGGGCAGGCGACTCCAAGGCTCTGGGCAGTCTTAAGGAGGGCACAAGGCTGGGGAAGAGTGAGCACTCAGATGAGTACAGGGCAGGCTCGTGGCCTCACACTGACTTGGGGTTTGTGGTCTGCGGGAGGGAGTTGGGCTGACGTTTACATGAAAGGAAAGTGCTTTCCGAGGGGGACAAAGAGGGAGTGTGAGGATGATTGTGAGGAAATGTATGTATGTATATAATAGAAAAGATTTTGAACTCTTTAGAGACACCATTTATGTAAAAATAAGTTCATTCATTAAACTGTATTGGAATATACAGGGTCTGGCAGAAGTAAGGCTTGCGTGAGTGTGGTTGATAGGGTAATAATATGGGTGTACTAATGAATAGTTTTAATTTGAACATTTCACCTAAAATGTCATATGGTGTAACATAACATAATATTGTTATGTTACAGAAGTACATGCTTATGATTTTGTAAAAAAAAAAAAGGGGGGGGGGGCGTTATTTGTGCCGGACCCTGTATTTGAAAGTAATAATCCTGAACTTGTTTTAAGCTATTATATGATTGGAGTGGTTCTTAGGAGTTAGTAAATGATGACTGTTTAGCTATATAGTTGAGGACCGATTAACCAATATGTTGATTATCCAGGACCTTTGTTTTCCTACTTCAGCTTCTTGCTATTCCCCAACTATCATATGAAAATGATAACATCTCTGTCTTCATGCATATGAACTAAAATCTTGGAGTTGCTTTAACTGAAAGACTTGAGGTGCCCTGGGCAGGGTGGTCCTAGCTGGGGAACATTCGACACGTCACTTTTCATAGTCCTCAGCCCTGGGCAGCTTCAGGCTCTGGGCTGGGAAGCAACTAGACCAGGTCCCAAGGTCACTTCCAGCCCCAGGACCCTCTGACCCCAACCTAGCACAACCTCCAGGCTTGATTGCCAAGATGATCCCCAAGGAGGCAAGCAAGCCACCTGAGGGACAGCGGTGTCTTAAGTCACTCTAATTCTTAGGACTGCATGAGAGACTTAGAAGTATGGTATGATTTCTTCAGATTAATTTGCTTGAAGTGACAGCAAAAAACCCTTCGTTCTATTCAAGACTGTAGACCTAGAAAAAATATGTATCAAACATGTGTAGATGTATAATGATCTATATATGGGGAGAGTAGTAACAGCGGGAGGGGATCCCCCTTAGAGAAATTGACACTGCTCCCTTGCTTATTTAAGATGCTAACATAATGGTTGAGTAAGCATAAGAAATTAACCATAAAATAATGAGTTGGTTTCCTAGCAAACGTATCCGTTCAGCAATGCCAGCCACGGAGAAGCCAGACGACCCCCTCACCGGGCAAGCCTTTCTGAGCCTGCTGGGAAGCCGCTCCAAGGTCTTTTTTCACGGAAGTTATTTTAAAACAAAGCAACAAAATCTCTCTTTTTTTAATAGTTGAAACCCACCTGGCACTCAAAATGTGTTACTTGTCTCTGTATTACTAGTCTTTTTGACTAATTATAAAAATTGTCTTCACAAATAGAGTTTTTTCCCCTCCACTGAGGATATCAAAAGAATGCAATGTTTGCTGCTTTAGGAGGTGAGACCTTTAAAATGAATAATAATCATTTGGAATTTTAAGCAACATACCCTTAATTATTTCTATTATGCTTTTCTGCAACGTAATTAAATACTAGGATGTGGACTTATGAGATCAGGCAGAGGACCTGTCTGTAAAAAGAAAAGTACCGTTTTTGAAATGTGGCCCATTGGTATTAAATAAGAACGCAGGCTGGCAGTACTGCGGAGAATCGTGCCATGAGCAAGAAGCAGCACCTGCTAAAACCGCAGCACAGCTGAAACAGCACTGGTGTGGAGGACTAGTTAGTGTGGACCAAGCAGTTCTCTACCTTCATAGCTTCTGAGACCGTCAATGAATTAAAGCACAGATCCAACTCATTCTATCAACACTGAGTCATTCTGAAAAGATTCAATTTTTTTTACACTATATTTTAAAAGGCAGGGGAGCATTCATATCTTGCACAAATTTTAATCCAAACTGTTCAAAATAAATTTCACTTCTAAGCGGGGGTCAGTTTCAGATATGTGTTAAATCATGTGTCATACCACAGTTTTCCAGTGATGCCAGGTTTTGAAGACATCTCTGTACACTGGTATAGCAGACAGAGCTCTATTTCAAGATCATATTGCAAAACAACTTCACAGTTGTTGCTGTTACCTCGCTGCGTAGTACTTTGACACACAATCTTGGTGTCTCTGAAACTGTAAGTTCTCCAAAAACCACAATTGCAGGTGCTTCCATATTAGAGCTCCCCAATCTCTCAAAAGAAATAGAAAGTGCTATCCTTGTTCTGTCATTTTTAGGTCAGAACACCCAATAGAAATTACATAAGGAAAGGCAAAAGTAGGCATCATGTATAAAATAGTTTATTACCATAATAAATAAAATTAAACTTTTTTTTTTTTTTTTTTTTTACAAATATCATTTGTGCTTGTTTAAAAATGTTGAGAAGGGAATATCACCAATGGAGGGCCTCATGTTTCTCTTAACACTCCCAAGTTGCAGAAATACAGGGGAGTTCCTGGCAGCATCTTCCGCTGGCCACAAAAATAGTATCAGCTCATTTGCACTCCTGTTTATTCATGCTCGTTTGGACAAAGTGACAGATGCAAAGGAAAAGGAAAACCCAATGAAGAATTTGGCAGGACTCAACGGAAAGAGTGTTAGTATATGGAGAAGCCCCAGAGTGACAAACTGCTCGTGAGTAGGTGTCCTTGCAGCGCTGGCGGAAGGTCGCATGTGGACAGTCCAACTGACACACAAACGCAGTGTCTGAATATTAAGAGAATACATTCATTGGGGGATTGCATCTTTCTGAACACAAAAGCAGTTCATATCCTGATACAAGCTCCGGGAACTTCTCATTGTACAACGAATGGATCCAGAAGTCACAAAGAGACAATGACTCTAAGAAAAGTCTCACGGCAGGCCTGGTCCGGCACCTGCAGGTAATTCAAGTCCAGTTCTAGAGGCTCCAGAAAAAGTCTGAAAGGCTTGCATGAAAATGAAGTTTCACGTGAAACTAATTTAAGCTTCAGGCAAATTCACATTGATTCTTTTGATCTGTGGGGGGTGGAAATGAAAACTTCTCCACATGAACCCCTTGGTTCCTGGAAGAACGGTGCTTTCTCTGGCGGCTGCAGTTGGTGCTGGGAGGTCAGTGGTATCCGCTCCAGGTGGAGGGCGCAAGAGCTGGTGAAGGTAAGTCTTACTGAAGCGAGCGCGACGGCAGTACAATGATTTACACAGAAGAGAGGCTGCCCGGGGGCCGGAGTGTGCCCTCCGTGGGCCTCCTGTGGAAGCAACACCGTGAGGAGGGAGGGAAGGGGGAAGAGTGTTGGCAGCTCCACCGCAGCTGGAGTTCCATTCAAGGGTCTTAAGGCTAAACATCTTTATTGCAAAATGCTGTACAATCTATTCACCAAATGCACATCAACTTCTATCTCCACCGGGGCTCCTAAAATTTCCCAGAAGGTGCACATGCCATATGGTGGTCAATGCAACAAGGGGAGATGAGGCTCCTTCTGCGAATGGTGTTCCTAAGGCATTCATGTGGTCCCCGGAGAGGCCTGGACAACAGTTTGACAGTTGGCTTTGTCCACCTAAGAGGCAAGCTCAAAATTGTCAAAGAAGATGAGTTTTCAGGAATAGCAGAGGAATTGCAATTCAGGACTTGCCTATAGTTTGCTACAGGTTGCTTGTCCCTAATTGCAAAGGAAATGACCCCCAAGGGACAATGACCCTTGGAATTCCTTCAGAATTGAGTGGGGTACCCTAACCGAGCCCTTTGTGCTCATTGCTTTAGCGAGCCTCCCTCGCTTCCGGTTTGGGGAGTCTTAGATTCTGAGCTTCTTCCCTTTGGATGAGCTCCACCACTTTATTCAGAACCCGTTTAAATGCTTCGTTCTTTCTGTTTCAGTGTTTGTGTCCTACTCATCTGCTTTTTTGTTTGTAGTGCACTAGAATTTTGGTATAATTACTTTGGAATTTTTGAGAGCAAAAACTAAAAATAATATCAGTGATCATGGGTCCAGCAAATAAATCTACCAGAGTGCGCACTGTCTCCTTATGAGAGACTTGATCTCCAAAGCAAAAGACTCGGAGAGGATAAATTGACCCCAGAGAGGCCAGACTGACATTAGGTTGCCTGCCAACCCCCAGGAAAAGTTCTGTTTAACAGGAAATACCTGATCATGAGTCAGACAACTAGGGCAAAGGCCCTCCTCGGGGAGAAAAGTGTACCCTGGTAAAAGGCACATTGTCCCTGTAAAACAAAATACAACTCCCAACCCTGAAAGCGCCCCTTTGAGACTATTTAGGAATTCTTTTGCTCTCAAGGAAACCTCTGAAAAATGGGATCCCAGCCATCTAAATGCTTGAAGCTGGCCCTCCTTCAGGGACCCCAGTTGGCTTTATGTTAAAAAATTACAGCTTTGCTTCATGTGCATTTTTGACATAATGGACCAACCTTACTAAAGA